GCTAGTTAGGATGTAAACCTTGGAAATTCTTATTTGCATGTATTTTAGAGAAAACATGGATCCAAGGTTATTAGGGTTGCATGTACACCTTAGGAGTGTTAGAATGCTCAAAACCCAACATAATTTCCTTTCATCTTGCAACTTGAATCATGTTTGGTACCTCTAAACTATCTTGTATTTCTTTTATTTTGACTATGCTTGTCTAGACTTATATTTGGTTGATTAGGGTTTAGCCCATGGATGATTGGTTATTTTGAAGACTTATGCTATCTTGTGTTTGAAGTTTATGGAAATGTTTTCTAGTCAAACATCTTCTTATGTTTATTTATTCTTGATCATGAGCTTTGATGAATGAATGCTTATTTTTGTTGACTAATTCTTGGTTAAGTAATGGACCCTCAAATAAGTAAGCAACAAATGGTTTCTATGTTTGTTTTCATTTCATTTAAACCATGGAAATGTTTCCTCCATAATGATAATGTAAGCATTTGATTATCTTTTGGACTTGGTAACTCTTAGAACTTAAAGCTAATTGATTTTCACAAGATTATATACTTCATTGATTTTGTGACTTTAATTAAGGGAATGTGTTAAGAGCTCCTCTAACCACTTTAATAACAATGAAGAGTTGCGGTAATTTGTGCTTATGAATTGCTATAGCCAAGTTAAATTAATTCACAAATGTTGTTCAATTTAGTCTAATGATAAGTCAACTATGTCATCCATGTGGTGTATCCCAAAATCAACCAACTCTACTTCATTGAATTTAATCAAATCATTTACTTGTTTACTTGTCATATTTACATTCTAACTTAGTTTTAATTTTCTCAAGCAATCAAAAAGATACCCCCCCCCACCCACCCTCATTTTACTTTTACTCTTGCTTTGTAAGTACTTGAACAATTGATTTACATAAATATTTAAATTGAACCAATCTCCGTGGATACGATCCCTTTACCACTATACACTATTTTAGTGTGTAACATTTAGGGTATTTATTTTGTTGGTCTCGACAACCACCAGGTCGTTTGGGATATTTGGAATAGTAGATTAAGGCTTGGTCTCTGTGTGTTGTACAGGTGGCCCGTATAGTCGTTAGTTGGAGCAGTATTCAATTCAGATATCTTCCTTACATTAAGGTGAGTTTTTCCTCACTGTACTCGTGGGTCGAAGGCACCAATGTCGGCCCACTAGGTCATGTATCCTATAATGTAGGATGTTGTTATGTTGTAGTAATCTATAGATTTGTATGATTATCTGTGTTGTTATATGATTTATCGGTTGCATATGTCGACATAGTGTGGTATGGGTTGGGGTTTTACTGCTACGTGCGTAAGCCAACAGACCGAGACATTCCAGTCCGATGACTGATTGGGCCGAGGCAATCCAGTCTGATGATTGTGGGCTGGTGGTAATCCAACCTGATGGATGTGGACCCGAGGGTAATCCAGTCCGATGACTGTGGACCCAACATGCATGATTGTATATGTTCTGTTGTGTGGGGTATTTTAGGGGAACTCGCTAAGCTTTGGCTTACACTTTAAGTGTTATGCTTCAGGTACTTCAGATGATCGGGGTAAGACGAAGGTTTGACCGTACATATCCTTCGGTGATATGTTTTGGAAATTTTATGATACTCTGATTTTGGAATAATTGTATCAGATACTTGGTTTTATGACTTGGGTTTTGATTGAAACAATGATTTTATTTGGATTGAAAAATGAAAATTTTATCGTGATTTTTGGGATGTTACACAACTAAAAGTATAAAACTTGCATGTTTTTACATGCTTGCGGATGCCGGTTGTCGAAGTGGTTGAATTTGGAGATTATTTGAAAAATGATTTTCGTGTAAAACAAAAATGATTTTCAAAAATCGAAAATCTTTTTAGTTTTGAAAATCATTGTTAATTTTTGAAATCTAAAAAGAGAGCACGGGTGAATAATTATACATTTTTATTGGTATAATATAAAGCATCTTATGCTTTCGTTTCTTTCTATTATTCCTTTAAATATGAGTTTATATGATGGAAAGTTGTTTATTGTTATTCACAAATAGCATAAAAGCCCGATATCCCGATACTTAATCAAATTATTATAAAATTTAATAGATTATAAATATGTTACAAAAGGAACGTAAAATAAAAATTATTCCAATGGATTGCAAAACTCGCCCAAAAATCAAGCAGCTTCATCCAATATGGCAAAATCCTAAACTCAGTCGAGCATGAAATGACAACGAAGAAAACCTGCCAAATATCATTATCAAACATACACATATCATTAATGTTGGATAGCCACTATAAATAAATACACTTGGGATGAGTCAAATTAAAAGCAATTACATTTTGTCATTTTCTTTATCTTTGTGGTTTAACGAGTTTATTCAATAAAAACCATGCAAGTTGGATAAAATTTTCTATATTAACAATTTTGACCTATTATATTTTGACCATATATACAAGTTAAAGTTGTTCCAATACAAAACTTTGTCAAAGCTAGTGATTTTAATGGAATATTTAGTGTCAAAGTTTTCACTAAAAAGTAAAAACACTAAGTTTGATAAAATTTTATAGTAACAACTTTAGCGTCATATAACAAAATGGTTAGACATACAAAAAATTATCAGATTTCGGTGGTTTTTGTTAACAAGTCTGAAATATAACTGTAAAATCATAAAAATAACCAAAATATAATGGTTTTTGTACATTTTGCTAATGATGCAAATCGTGAAAACCTAACTAATGATTTTATAAGGATCAACGATTAAAATAATCGGATACAAAAAAAAAAAAAAAAAAAAAAGCTATAGTAAGATAAGAAACCCAATTAAGATTCATCTTTTATCTTATATTGAGATTAAAAAAAAAATTGCAATGATATTTAACGAAATTGTAATTTTCTACCTATAAACATAAAGTTATCATTAATTCACAACGGATAAAATTGCTTTTTGAAAAAAAAAACATTAAAAATATTGAAAAAGAAAATCTTATTTTGTTTTTTTTTAATGTGTTTTTGCATACATTTTAATTTTTTTTTACTGGAAATTGATAATCAATTTGTGGTATTGATAAAAAAATGGTCAATTTATTTTTAAATTCACACTTTTTATGATATTTACATGAAATCTACATATCCAATTTAAAGAATTGAAAATAGAAAGGATGCTTACTTGGATCAGAAGTAATGAGCATAGCAGTTCCTTCAAAGCCACAAATTCCACCATTTTTCTTGTTCTTCTGCCAATAACTATTGAAAGCATAAGATGCATGAGCAACAACAGAATCCGGCGAATAACAGCTCCCATTTGGCTTGATCGGATCACAATCAGCACCTCCTGCTCCGCAAGCGTAATCCATCGCCACCTGCAACTTTTCCGATGGTACACTAGGCTTTGCCACACACCACATTCCTTCTTGCCCATAACCACCGCCTGACGCTGGTGGTGCAGCCATTGATTTACCCGCAGTGGGTGGCGCAGCCATTCGTCCACCACCATTGCCGACTATGGGTGGAGCAGCGCGGTAGAAATGAGGGTATGGGTTACAGGGTGGAAGATTGAACATGTGATGTGGAGAGGGGCTGCTCGCCGGAGCCATCGTTGGAGGCTGAGTTTCTGGTGGAAAGGGTAGAGTAAACGTCGCCGGTGGGAATTCTACCGCCTGTGATGGCGGAGTTGGTGGGAACCACAAAGGGTCGAGGAATTGAAGCTTTCTCGATGTGGGTTTTGCTTGTTTTGACATGGGGAAGATGACATTTACTGTTTCCGATTGAAAAACGCCCAAATCATTCATCGATTTCAGCTCAGAAGTCAACAATCTAAGAGTTTGATCAGAAAATTGAGGTGTGTTTATGGTGTAAGTTGAGTTGATATCCTCTAAGAAGCTGAAAACATTCTGAAGGTGTGATTGGCGTAAACAATTGAAAGAGAGAGAAACAGAGACTTTAATTTCTCTCTGTAAACCCCATCTAGTGAGAGAATAATACATGTTCTTCATTGCATCCAGAGTTAACCTAACGAGCTCTTCTCGATTTCTGATTTTCTCATTACAAAGAGGATCGTTAGCAACAACAATGGAGTTTATATTACTAGATGGATAACGAGATAACACATGAGTCCTTAGCCAATTTTCCGCCATTAAAATGCTATTTGAAACCTGATTAAGCTTTTCTTCCTCCACAGAAACCCCAATTGTTTGAACTGGATCCATATACGACGAATCATGGCGATTCAGAGTCAAAATATGCAAAGGTTCTTGACATAAAACTGAAAAAGCCACTAACAAGTTAAATAAGAAAATGAGAAAATAATTACAGAGGAAACAGAGCACTCTGTTTCTTTGAGCTTACCAGATGAACAAAGGAAGAAAAGAAGAGCTAAGAGGATCGACATTTTTAACATTGTGAAGGTTTCAGAGCTTGAAAATGTGAACTGAATGGAAGGGAAAGAATCAGAGCGATGGTTTTATGGTGGATTGATTTTGGGAATTTGGGTTTTGGAGTGGAGACGAAGGTATTCTTCGAATTTATACTTGTAATATGTGCATTGTTAATTGTACCTTTTGAGGTAACGAAAAGGTTATTTGGAAAAGTGTAGCCTACAAACGTTGGAGGGAACAGTGTTTGAAGCATACTTGAACGTGACTTTATATAAAGTGTTTAACAAATATTGGTTATAAGGGTGGTAGTACTCTTAACATATATTTTTATTGTTATTTAGGTTTTTATTAGAAATTAAATATCCTCCTATATTTTATTTCTATTTATCTTCATACCATATCAAATATTGATATGCGGCACATTTAATGAAATTGATAATATTTAGTCCACTTATCATCATTTAATGTGGGTAGGAAGATAGTAAGAATAAAATGTAGAAAGATATTTAATTTCTTATATTTTTATTGTTATGTAGGTTTTTATAAAGCCACATAAGTTTAGAATGCAAATGTTAAAAAATGTAGGGAGTGATAGTACGAGGCTGGTTTTGTTTTAAAAAAATTTTAAAAAAATAAAAGAAAATAATCACAACCAATCACAGCCAACCATCTCTCTCTCTCTCTCTCTCTCTCTCTCTCTCTCTCTCTCTCTCTCTCTCTCTCTCGTGTTAAAGGCTTAACGAGTGTAGCTTAGCACCTAGGGTGGCAAATCGTGCTATCGTTTCGTGTTTCTGTCTGACACGACACGACACGACACGACAAAGTTTTTTGTAACACGAACACGACACGACACGACGTCGTGTTTTTTTTAACTAACACGAAAACGAACGAAGTAAAAAACGACAAACACGACACGACACGACAAATATAACATATACTA